TCATTAAAAAATATCGTTGGTGCATCAAATTACACCAACCTACACTCAACCGAGGACAAAACTTTGACATTAGAAACCTCAGGACAAACTCTCTCACCAAACTATACCGAAATACCACTTGTAGTAACACTGATAAATTGAATGATAGATTGTATTTCGCATTTGTTTTGTAGTATTCTTAACAGCTTATAGGCTGAATAATTAACAATGATAAATTAGTACCATTAATTGTTTAAATAACTGAATAGTTAAATTTGGCGGAGTGTTAGATATTATTTAAACATCTAAATTGATTTAGGTTATAACATGATGAGTTTCAGGGACTTAAAAATGTCATAATGCATACGGTATTATAAGAGGCCTTACTAGAATCAGTTGGTTTTCAAGATAAAACAATTTCAGAGATCTGTACCTCCCCTCGGATGAATCCCAGGTAATTATCCTAGTAGGCTTCCTCTGAACCCTTTTGTAATTATCCTCAGTATCCTTCCTAACGAGCATTTCTTAAAGCAAATTCTGTATCCATTTACTGTTTACAAGTATGAAACCAATTATACGGTAGAGAAAAATCATTGTTGCCCAATAGTTTAAAATTCCATTTAACATGCGACAAATTTTCTTCATTGGGCGACAGAAATGTTGCCCAGTCACCGTGTTAAAAATGTTCTGCTTCCTAACGTAAGGAGCCCAAAATTGAACACAATACTCCAAATGTGACTCAACCAGTGACCTATACAATACAATTGTAAACTTTTTAGAGGTGTATTAATAAATATTTCTGTAGATACAACCTAAAATCTTATTTGACCTACGACTATAAACAACACACTGTTTGGATGGCTTAAGAGACTGATCAACTACTACATCAAGATCCCTTTGTTTCATGAAACTATTCCCATCCAAATTATACTTATAATTCAAATTATGATAACCCATCTGCCATTGATCTAAGTGATCTAAATCCTTTTGTAAAGCAGCATCCTCCTCCTTACAGCCAGCAACACTCAAAACCTAAATATCATTTGCAAATTTAATTAATTTATTGACTATTCCTTCATCTATATCATTGATGTAACTCAAAAAGAGCAAAGGTCCTGAGACTAATCAAGTTTGACTGATCTCCATTTAGAACAACCCTCTACTTTCTTCCACTCAGCCACTTTTCTATCAGGTTTATCCCTCACACCTATAAAGATAAGTTTTTAAAAGCCTTTTATGAGGCACCTTTTCAAAGGCTTTCTGAAAATCCAGACATACCAAACCTACACCATTATCCTTATCTACATAAGCAGTAAATTTAAGATTTGCAAGACAAGATTTTCCCTCA